AAGAAAACATGTAATACATGTTAGTCGAGAAGAATTAGATACAGCAGCTACGAATAGGTTATACATGTATATGGCATATTATATTGACGAGCATCTCATAGACCAAAAAGACTGGAGATTTACCTTCAAGTGGTGGTAAACTTCCACACCCATTTTCATGGCTTCCGTGAAAGATGAAGCTCCAACAGGGAGAATCATAAACTCCTGCAAACACCAATAGCTCAATATATATTCAAAACTGAAGAAGCCTGCAATTTAACATGTCAATTGAAAAGGATCAAAATGAACGCACCTGCATAGCAAGCTTGTTTCCAGCATGGGATCCACCATTGATGACGTTGAAGGCAGGAACTGGAAGCACAATCTTAGGGTTACCAGCAAGATTGGCAATGTGCTGCACCCAAATACCACATAAAGGGAATAGCTTAGAACATCTAGTACAAGAAAAACCAAGTAGCCAAAGCAGTAACAATCTTATCCTCCATGGACAGAGGGAACCAACTTAATAGTGGAAAATCGTTCTACCTTGTATAGAGGAATGCCGCTGACAACAGCCCCAGCTTTGCAGACAGCAAGAGACACAGCAAGAATCGCATTGGCTCCAAGCTATACACAGAAAGAAGACGCAAGATTATCAGACTTGTCTTTTATTCTTGAGTGAATACATAAAACATGAATTTTCCCTTTAACTACCTTTTGCTTGCACCAACCCCACTCATTCTGGGTTCCATCAAGTTCATGGACCATGAAGTTGTCGATAGCAGTCTGCTGAGTTGGGTCCTACAAAAAACAATAAAAGCAACAAAAATAACATAACAGAGCCTTGTGCATAGGCTTCGCTGAAAGTAGCTTATAGAGAGACTCACCTTTCCAATAAGTGCTGGGCCGATGATGTTGTTCACATTGCCAACAGCCTAGTAATATAAACAAATAACGAATCAGTCAAAATGATCAATTGAGATAACTCTACTTACACAATGACCACATGGTCCACATCACAAACTCACCTTAGAGACACCCTTTCCAAGGTAGTCAGATCCTCCATCCCTAAGCTCAAGAGCCTCGTAGATTCCTATCAACAGCAAAAGTCCACAAACACAGTGTCAACCATACAATATTCGTATACCAAAACAAAAAATTAGGCCAGAGAGCAACATACCAGTGGAAGCTCCACTTGGAACAGCTGCTGTAACTTTGACACCACTGGATGTGTGGATATCAACCTAAACCATTATCAGAGAAATCATTAGCAAACCATCGAAATCGTAAAAACCAGATGGAAATAGACAGATCCGTCGCAAAAACCATATAAACAAAATCAGCTCCATCATCGACAAGTCACGATCCAAAATAAAACAACAAACACAAATCATAAGTTCCGATTCGCCGAGATCAAAACACCGATCATCATCGCTCACAAGAACCAAATCTCATTCACGTACTACTCATAGATCAATTCAGGTTTACAAAAAAAAAACGATTAAATAGAGATTAACAGAGATTCAGCATCTGATACTCATCAAACGAACAGATCCTGATCGGCTAAGCGAGAAGAAACGAACCTCAACGGTGGGATTACCACGGCTGTCGAAGATCTGTCTAGCCTTAACACCGGTGATAGTAGCCATAGCGAGTAGATCTAGAGAGAGAGATAAGGGCGATGGGTTCGAGGGTTTTAGTGAGAATCGCTTAACAGTAGTAGCTGAGGAATTTGGGTTGGTGGTCTGGTTCGATTTCGATATATAATGAAGTCACGGGTTAATCCTAAACCGTTGGATTGTTTTTATAACAACCGTTGGATGAGTAAGGTTGGTTTCGTCAGATGTATAATAATAGAAGCCAAAACGATGTGCTGCACGCCTTTTGAAGAAGAGAAGAGGTTTTTTCTATTTTCTTTGCTCCTTGTCCAAGTAATTCCACTCTTTTCTAGAACTTTAGAACAAGTAATTAATATATGGATCTTGATTTTATTCCATTTTTCCATTATATGTTTCATTTTTTCCTTTTTGATTTGTCAATAACATGTTTTTATGCCATGTTTGAATTTGGATGGTGTGATGTATATAGAAACAGTACTAGTAGAATTTTTACTTTTTTTTGTTTAAGGGTTTTCGTTAAACTAAAAACTTAGGGTGCAAATGGTTGCATATGAATGAAAAATTGAGTTGAAGAAAAAAAAGGTTGAATAGTATTCAACTTATTCCTCTGCGAAATAGGAGATGAACAAGTTGAACAAATTTTCTTTATAATTAGTTCATTTTTCCAATTTTTTGAGTTGAATGGGTTGAACCATTTTTTCAACTTATTCATCTCAAATGGTAAAAAATTGGATGAATGCTCATTCAACTCTTTCAACCTTTTAATTTTAGGCAACCATTTGCACCCTTAAATGGATACAATAATGTTTATGAGTCAAAAATTTTGGGCCTCTACAAATTTATAGATAATATAGAAACTTTAGTGAACCAAATCCCCTCCATAGGGTAGTCTCATGTCTAGTCGATCAACCATTTTTTTATACTATGTTATGAATATATCATATGGTTGATTATATGTTCTAGTGGAACCATTTTTCATCAACCATTATTTGATTTTGCTTATTCTATGTGTCAAACTTTGAATTTCCAATTCACTAGTTCTAAAATTCTTATCAAAATGTGGTGTTTGTGTGGGATTTTCGGATGTTCTTTGGAGTCTCAATCTCAAGATGAGTAGGATAGGTGATCCAATACTATTTTTAAACTAACTAGTAATTAAAATTTGCTAAATTTTACTAAATTATATAATATGTTTTAATATGAAATTCTATATTTTTGTTAAAGAATTTTAATTTCGTTTAATTATGTAATTTTTTCATGTTTTATATGAAAAAATAGTAAACAAATTCGTCTACTCATATGAAAATTCTTAGGAAAAAACATAGCACAAATTTTCCATTAGGCTTCTTCCAAGCCTTTAGTTTCTTTTGATAGAAATTCGTGAGAGGTTCTCCAAATCATAACAAGATAACAAATGGTAAACGAGAAATAACATTATCAATCAGCGTCGATTCAATGTAGATTTACAGGTTTTTCGTCTTCAGCTTTTAAATGAGTTTCATATAAGAAAAAGAAAAGAAAAACAACTTTAAAAGGGATGAAAAAATGTACTGTATCGAGATTTGTCCATGTATATTAAAAGTTGACAGGTGGAATTCTCTGATTGGTCGTTTTAAGTCAATTCACACTACCAAGTTGGATGGTCTTCGAAGAAAAAAAGAAGTGAAAAAGATGAATAAATCCTTTAAATAAGACTCATTATTCATAGTAAGAAAAAAAATCCTGGAAAGATGTATCGACATTGCCCATGTATGATAAGTGGAATTATCTAATTGGTATTTTAAGTCAATTACTAAATGGTCTTCGTCTCTTCCAATGAACAGAAAAAGTCAAAAAGATAGATATTAGAAAAATAATTAAAGGATAAGTACAAAAAAGATTTTGTGAGTAAATGAAGAAAAACGCCAAATAAATGGCTTTGATCTCGTGAAGCTAAATCGCCATTCGTCACCACCTTTAATGACTAAATCCTCTACTATATATATTCACCATATGAGTCTTACCGATCTCAAGCACAACAATGGCTGAAGAAAAACTCAAGAAGAGTATCATTGCTTCCGACGACAGCGACGATGAGTACTCAGGTGACACTGTTTCAGAGCAGACAGAACTGAGTTCGATCCTTGGTAAACTTAGTATAGAACCCGAGAAGGAGAAGAAGAAACTCTTGGTATTGAGTCTAAGTGGTCTTCTTCTTCACAGAGTCCACAAAAAAGAGATGCGTAAGAAACCCAAGAACCGCTCTCCTGATGCTTCTTGTGGCCCAAATCTTGGTAACGTTTCATTATTGTTTTATTAGATTCCTACCTTTTTGTATTAATAGCTTGATTGGGTTTGTCTCTTTGTTGTTTAGTGTATAAGAGGCCATTTTCTGAAGAGTTTATGAAGTTTTGTCTTGAGAGATTCGAAGTTGGGATTTGGTCCTCTGCTTGCGAGTTAGTCTCTTCACTCTACATTCTTATAACTACAGATTAATGTTGATGATTGCTTAAGCTTAATAGTAAGTTGATCTGATCCTTCATGTGTTTGACTGTTAGGAAAAATGTTGACATCATTCTAAGCATTGTGCTTGAAAATCTCCAAGATAAGCTTCTCTTTGTGTGGGTAAGACTCTCATTAGTATAGAGATGTTTGTCTAGTGGCTACTATTTATGTATATATGAATTTGAATACTCTTTTATTATAGGACCAAGAAGAGTGTACGGACAGTGGATTTAAAACACTAGAGAACCGTTACAAGCCTTTGTTCTTCAAGGATCTCTCCAAAGTGTTTCAGTGCTTCAAAGGCTTCTCTGCTTCAAATACCATCTTCATTGATGATGAACCCTATAAAGCTCTTCGTAATCCTGTAAAAATACACTCTAATCTCTATGATAATCTTGTTTATCGATCTTTTTTGTAGTTCTTGCTCCTAACTTTATTTAATCTTGATGTGCATTCAGGACAATACTGGTCTGTTTCCAATGAGCTATGACCCTTCTAACAAAAGTGATAGTTTACTTGGTATGCAAACAGTTACTATAACTTTTGATGTTCATCTCTTATCTTTAGACATGCTTTTTGGTTTATGGTTGGACTGTTTTCTATTATGTTAGATCCAGAAGGAGAGTTCTGTTCTTACTTGGACGGTTTAGCAAAATCATCGGATGTTCAGGCTTACATAAAAGAGCACTCTTTTGGACAGCCCAAGATCGATTCTTCTCATCCCGATTGGTCTTTCTACCGCAAAGTGTCGAAGATTGTCTCTTAATCTTCCATGTTTATTAGTTTGTTTAAGTTTCGTATTCTGAATAATTCACTTCTGTTGCTTAAAATAATAAAGTTGAATCACTTAAAATAATCCTCTCAAGTGTTTGAAATTTTAGCTATGTTACGATAGGTTGAAACAAAGAGAAGCAAATGTGAAGGAAACAAGTTTTATTTTGTCCATTGGATTGTAAAGAAACCAATGAGCTGAATGTTTAAAAGTTCAAAAAGAAATAACATTGAAAATTCAACAATGAAGTCCAACGAAAATGAAAATGATAGCAAAGATCCCCAGTTTTTTAGAAAACTTTTATGAACTTAAGAGTCCAATGTTAAAAAGTTTCTGATGAGATTACTTGTCTTGCTCCGGTGTAGAGTTGTACCACCCTAGAGTCAGAAACTGAGAAGGGTAAGACTCATCGTAGTTCTCAGAATGAGAAGGTTCTATCATCTCTGGTCCAGTGAATGAGGAAGCCAATAAGTTTGGTATTCCAGGTGGAACAACCACAGCTTGGGGCTCATCGTTCCTCATCATCTCTGGTTGACGTTGGAGTTGTCCTGTGAATGAGGAAGCCAATAAGTATTGTACTGTGGGTAGAAGAATCACATCGTTGGACTCATCGTTCCTGTTCTGAGAGTGAAAAGGGCCAATCATATCTGGTTGTTGGTCTTGTTCTGTGGAGGAGGAAGCCAACAAGTTTGGTGTTGTGGGTGAAAAAACAACCATAGCTTTGTTGGACTCATCGTTCCTCTCCTGAGAGTGAGAAGGGCCAATCATATCTGGTTCTTGGGCTTGTCCATTGGATGATGAAGCCAACAAGTTTGGTGTTGTAGGTGAAAAAACAACCATAGCTCTGTTGGACTCATCGTTCCTCTTCTGAGAGCGAGAAGGGCGAATCATATCTGGTTGTTGGACTTTTCCTGTGGATGAGGAAGCCACCAAGTTTGGTGTTGTGGAAGAAGCCAACACATATTTCCTCGTCTGAGGCGGTTTTGAGACCAACGGCCAGAAACTTCCAATCACAACCTATAAAAAGGAATTATAAGATATAGCTACAAACTTTGAACTAACCATGCATAAATAAAGAAGATGCTTTGTGTTCTTACTTGGACAGGACTTGCTGCAATGAGACTCCCAGCCAAAGTACCACCAAAGACACTTGCACCAGGAGCTCCACCAATCATAATCCGCCACCCTCCCGTCTTATGTTTCACTCCTCCGCTCTCAGATATCGCCATTGTATTGCTCAGCGATACTATCTCATACTCATCCTACACCAAATTGTTATCATTATCCTATCCAAATGACTGGTTATCTTTCATGTTAAGACAACTTATTAACCTATTTATAGACCAAACTTATAATGCATCCTTCCAACATGAACCATTAAGTTATAAGATTGGACTGCAAGACCAAGTTTATCATATAAATATACCTTATACGTCACGACCCTGCGGCTTGAACTGTGAAGTTGAATCTTGACGTTAGCAACCGCACCATTTGCTGACAAAACACTGATCCCACGAGAACCATTTTCAGTGAAGGACATGATCCTCTTGATAATATCCTGTAACGAGACCATCAAAAAGACAAATATATAAAAACCTCTCATCATATATCTTCAACACATATAGTCAAATTGTTCATCTCTCTGTTAGGTAGAACTAATCTTATCTAGTCCTTCCATGTTTATAAAATTAGTAGGAGTGTTAAAATGAGCTAATTCACTCAATTCTACTCAACTTATAATGAATTAAATTACTTCATGAGTTAGTTTAATTCAGCTCATTTATTATGAGCTTGTGTTTATAAATTTGAATCCATATCATTCAAATCGTGAGTTAAAAGAGTTAGTTCGCGGGTTAATACTAAACATTGTAAACATATGTAATAACAAAAAAAGAAAAACCTCTAAACAAATATATCCAGAAGAAAACTTTAAGAGTCAAATATTCAAAAAAATAAACCTAAATAAATAGTTGTCAAATGCAGTTATTATCCAAATGGAAGTTAAATCTCTTCCATTTGAAAGTCTTAGATGATCTAAGAATGAAATGTTCATCCACATCATATTGCAAGTTGTATATTACATATTGTATGGTTCTAAAATTTTTATAGTTAGCAGAAAATAAATATTCTTAAGCCCGTGAAAATTGAACAGTAGTACATAACTAAGTAAATAAAGTAACAATGTCACGTACACGTTAATATAATCGAAAATAACAAATAAATAAAAATATTATCGTTATCGTATGTTGTAAAACTAAAAAAAAAAAATTATATTACCATTATATATAAACCAAAATTATTCACGAATCTATTCATGATTCATTAGAGTTAACTCGTCTACTTTACTACTTTACCTAATCCATGTATAAAAAGAATCTAAAACCATAGCTCCAACTCATTAAAAACTCGAGTTGAACTGAACTAAATCTGTTTTAAAAAGAGTTTTGTTATAATTGTTTTGTGTGGATTAAATATAAATATATATATATATATATATGTGAATTACATTGTGGTGAATTGAAGAGAAATGTTATTGGCTTTGACTAAAGGATAATCTTAAAAATCTAAAATCATAGTTCTGAAAAACAAAAAGGTTTTGTTTTACAACAACAAATGAAATAAATAAATAAGTATGCATAAATTATAGATATACCTCTCCTTTGTTAACTGTGAACATATGCGGCTTGAAGTCCCCTCCTCCAAACCCCATAGACATGTCACCTTCAATCAAAAACACATTCAAATCCATCAGAACTATCAGTTTTTCTGTTGTTTTACAACAAATAATATTCTTACATATTTTATGTTTACAAAACTAAATTGACATGTTATGTGTTTTCCTTCGATTAATTTCCCTATGCCCTTACACAAGACTACAAGAGAATGGGTTTTTCCAAGTAATTTGAACCCTAGATTAATATTCTCTAATCGTTTTTCATTCTTTCGAGCACAAGAAATATAAGATTAGTTTTGTCCGATCCCCTCGCCAATAACGAAACTCAAATAGTTGTATTATCGATCGTGTTACATATTATTAGTTTTAGGGTATTGTAATTAAGAGAACAAAGCTTAATTTACCTCTTCTGTTCCTCAACGACGACCTCGGCGTAAATGTCCCAGATTTTGTGGTAAACCTCCCTTTATAATCACGATCGTACGTCTTCGGCCTTTCTCTCTTCCTACTCGCGTCGTTGACACCCTCCACCACCGTGGCTGGTGCCGATGCGGCAGTCTCCGTGACCGGAAAGGGAGAGATGGGCGTTGAGTTCGACATTGACAAGGAAATGATGCTCTCGTTTTGATCCCAATAGAGACTGGAAATGAGAGGCAAGTCGAGAGAAGTAGAGGTAGAGTTTGTGATTTTATGAAGTCTTTTTATTGGTCATGGAATAATTAAAGAAATTAACGATAGTTTGGAAACTTTTTTATTTTATTTTACCGTTTCCTAATTAATATGTGGCCTCTCCCATTTAATAAAAAAATATAAAAATTAAATGTTGAAGTTTCACTGTATGTATATGTTGTCTGTATATACAGAGATAATATAAGAAGGTAAAGGAAATAGATATTTTGTCTGTCTATATAAAATTTAGTATTTATTTTCTGTTCTATAGATATAGATAATAAGAAAGAAAACTTTTATATATAATAAATTTCACATTAAAAAAAATTAGTTTAGATTTTGGCTTATAATTTTACGATTCTAGTTACTGACCGTTGTAAACGGTTTAATACCGTTATTTTATGTTTCTAGTTAGTGATCGTTGTAAACGGTTTCTATAACGTTCAAAATTTTATGATTCTATATTAGATATGTGTTGGAAAGACGAATGATCTCAATATTTTATATATATTTAGCGATTTGCAACGAACTTTTAAAATCGTAAGATTAATTGAACTAACATGACTTACATATATATATATATATATAAATGGATATTATAGTATATAATTAGTATGAACAACTGGACCTTATAGTATATAATATATATTCAATGGATATTAAGTTTCAAATATCAAATAATTTAAATTAAATTGCAGAAAATTAAATTTGGCCGAATTAAATTATTTCAATGTAGATGTCTTTTGAATATGTTTTTTCTTTTTAATGAAAACAATAATTAAGTGAAACATAGAAAGTATTTGATTTTGATTAAAGACAGATTTTTTAATATTTAATAATTATATTTTAAAATAAAACTTGGGACTTTGAATTGGCTGGGCCAATTATACACTACAAAACAAATTCCTTAAATGGAAAAACGCCAGCGGAAAGCAAAGAACACGAGTCAAATCTTTTTAGTTTTTTTTTCCAGTTTTAGAGATTATATACAAAGGTACAAATGGAATGTCTTTCTTTTATGATTTTATCCTCAATGTAATCGCAAACGAGTTGCATCGGGACTTTAGTCCCTATCTAATATAAGAAGCAAGTTTGGGTTAACAAATAAAAAGGAAAAAAAAAAGGTATAAATGGAAGAAAATAATGAATTTTGACCAATTTAATATAAAAGTTCAGTGAATTTGTTTTTGTTGTTCAAAAAGAAAGAAAATTATATATATTTGGAAAACATCAACGGAAAAAAAGTAGTCTTTGCTAAAACAAAATCTACCACAAATGCAAATAGTCAAGTCCGGTAAATTTTTTTTTTTTTGTATTTTTCTAGTCAGTCAAACCAATGATGTGTTGTAAGTTGTAACGGTAATGGCACTTCTTTCCAACCTCAGACTTATTTTAATATCTCCTCCACAATCAGACTTATTTTAATATCTCCTCCACAATCCCAATTAAAGTATTTTTTTTTGTGTTGTAAGTGATAACATTGGTAATTTCGATCACTTTAAGCCCATGGGCTAAGGCTCAACAGTATAGCTTAACATTTACCGTCAATCCATGGGCCAACATAATAAACCAAGCGCACACACACATCAAGCCGACCCATTCGGAGAGAGAGTATTTGACCCAAAGAGAAGTGTTTGTCGAAAGTAATTTTCAGATTCAACGAACATTTATCAATTCAATATGTTGTTATCTCCCTGTTTGAAGTAACTCTACTTTGTTATGAAAGAAAACTCCTAAAACAATTTCAATTTTGTTAAAGTTCTTCGTAGCAGAGAATTGCCACATCTTAGCAAAATACAACATTAGTCAATCTTCTCAAGTTTGACAAGAAATTCAACCAGTATACAAAGCTGACACTCTACTCACATATTTGTTATAAATGGTTACATGTAGTTGTTGTATGTATAGTTAGATTGTAAATCACATTTTTATCATCATTCAATATATTCAGATTTTAAAAGAAAAATTAAAACAGAACAAACAAACAAAACCAAAAACTGTAGATTTTTAAATTAAGGGATCCACAGTTTTTAAACTTTGGTTAATAAGTATGGAGATGTAAGAACTTTGGTAAATTTCTCTTATTAAAAAAAAAAGATGAAAATCACAACGCTAATTGCGCCTTCATTTCCTCCTTTTATATAATTGGTTAAATGGGTCTAAAAAATGTCGGGTTGGTAAAAAAATAAGAGTGAGCTTAGGGAAAGAGGAAATGCAAAGCTGACTTTGTTTTCCAGAACAAATCATCAACTGTCGCGTCGTACCAATCATGGATCCACCATGTTATTTGTTAATTTTTGTCGGCACACTAGTAGTTAATTTGAATTATCTGATTTTAATAACAGGAACAAAATACTTTTTACTTGAAGAGGTTTAACATATTTTCATTACCCGAGAATGTTGGTTTTATCGACTGTGTATATTAGTGGAAATGACATTTCAAGCTAAAAATACTTCTAATTATGTAAACTTGAATTCTATTTCTAATTTTAGAGACTTCCAAATGGAATTTCAAGCTAAAAAAAAACATATGTAAATGGGTGTTATTGGTTCCTAATTTACATGGAATTTTGATGACTTTAATAAAATCATAAAAATAAGCAAATGAAAGATTCTAAACTTTGTCAGAGAGTTTTTGAGAGTTTTCTATAAAAACTCTAAACATATGTAAATGTTGTAAGTTGAGTTATTCATAGTGAAAATATGTAGTGTGCCATTGAATAATTAAGCAAGACTTTTATAAACAGTAAATCATATTAGAGGATCTATATAAAACCCAAAGATTGACCTCATAAGATGATAAGAAGTCTATTAGTCTATGAGATTAAGTCTAAGCATATATATATATATATATATATATATATATATATATAGTTTCATAATGATTATCAAAGTTTTTTTTGCTAAGAATGTCAATATCATTAGTTAAAATGAAAAAGTTTGGCTTTTACATAAATTATGCATTTGGTTTTTGAAATCTTGGCAAAAAAAATAAAAACAAGGTTTCAATTTGGAAAACACACAGAAGAGTGAGTTCATGATAACCACAACTGCATTAGGTTGCATAAACGCTTTATTGATTGTCTTGGAGTGATGGTATTGCGGATCGTTGTGTCAATGAACATCAAAATTGTTTAACTAGAAAATTACCACATTTACGCAACTCTGCTCTTTCCTCTTTTATGAGATCAAATCTAAGCCATTGTGTTTTTGGTGACAATCTACATCTCATTTGAGCACAATATTTTGCTTTGGATTTGCTTTCAAATTGGATTCACAATATGTCAAAATTCTTAGTGTACAAACTAAAACGAATGATAAAATGTTCTAAATTGTTCTTTACTCAATATCTAAATAGAGAAACAAATTGCAAAAGTAACTTTAATTTTCTTACAAAAGAGACACAAATTAAAGCAACTATACTACTGTGGATACCTTGCCTTTTTCAAACACTGGGTAAACTTTTTGAGCGTAGGGTTATGTTCACCCACACCATGGAGTGGAAAACATCAATCATTCACACAACCACCACCATTCCTACTTTTTCCTCTCTTTTTTCCCCCCCTTCTCACAAATCATTTACCATCATCTCCTTTTTACATCTATCAAAGTATATTATGAAGTTAATAAACTGATTAATGAAAAATTTCTGTTGATATTATTTGATAACCTTATGTCATTACATAATTCAATCCTTATGTTTACATGCAATTTTAACATAGAACGTACATTTATTCTTCATGAGTTCTGTTCCTGATCAATCCGTTGTACGTAACTTTTGTTTTTACTTTCTTTAGTTTTTGTTTTATCTCTTTTTTTCTGGACTACGACACTGCATTAAAAAAAAAACATAACAGACCATACGAAAAAAGATTAAAGAAAAGAGAAAAAGAAAATTTTAAAGATTCCATGTCTTTGTCGTTTTCTCTCAATTTCAATAAAAAGAAAGATACATTTCTCTCTTCACACTCTCACTCACTCACTCTTCTCTTTCCCGCTCATCCGCCATGGCTGCTAAACCTCTTCTTCCTCTTCTCCTCCTTCTCCTTCTTCACCTCTCAATCTCCATCGCTCAAAACGATACAAATGCACTCACACTCTTCCGTCTCCAAACTGACACACACGGCAACCTCGCCGGAAACTGGACCGGCTCCGACGCATGTTCCTCCTCATGGCACGGCGTTTCTTGCTCACCATCTTCACACCGCGTCACCGAACTCTCTCTCCCTTCCCTCTCCTTACGAGGACCATTAACCTCTCTCTCCTCCTTAGACCACCTTCGTCTTCTTGATCTCCACGATAACAGACTCAACGGCACCGTTTCACCACTCACAAACTGTACAAACCTCAGACTCGTTTATCTCGCCGGTAACGATCTCTCCGGTGAGATACCTAAAGAGATCTCTTTTCTTAAACGAATGATACGTCTTGATCTCTCTGATAACAATATCCGTGGAGTTATACCAAGAGAGATTCTCGGGTTTACCCGTATTTTAACGATCCGGCTCCAGAACAATGAGTTAACGGGTCGGATCCCGGATTTTTCTCAGATGAAGTCACTTCTTGAATTGAATGTTTCGTTCAATGAATTGCACGGAAATGTCTCCGACGGTGTGGTGAAGAAATTTGGAGACTTGAGCTTTTCCGGTAACGAAGGATTATGCGGGTCGGATCCTTTACCGGTTTGTTCTTTGACAAATAACCCGGAATCTTCAAACACTGATCAGATTGTTCCGTCGAATCCTACGTCGATTCCGCATTCTCCGGTTACCGTCGGAGAACCGGAAATTCACGGCCATAGAGGGGTTAAACCGGGAATAATCGCCGCGGTTATCAGCGGTTGTGTGGCGGTTATTGTTTTAGTATCTTTCGGTTTTGCTTTCTGTTGTGGAAGATTAGACCGTAGCGGCGGTGGAGGATCAAAACCCGGAAGTGTAGAGAGTGGTTTCGTCGGAGGAGAAGGGAAGAGACGAAGCAGCTACGGCGAAGGAGGAGAGAGTGATGCGACGTCGGCGACAGATAGGAGCAGACTTGTGTTTTTCGAGAGGAGGAAACAGTTTGAGCTTGAGGATTTGTTGAAAGCATCTGCGGAAATGCTTGGGAAAGGAAGTTTAGGGACGGTGTACAAGGCGGTGCTTGACGACGGCTCAACAACGGTGGCGGTGAAGCGGCTAAAAGACGCGAATCCATGTCCGAGGAAAGAGTTTGAGCAGTACATGGAGATTATTGGTAGAATTAAACACCAAAGCGTTGTTAAGCTCAGAGCTTATTATTACGCTAAAGAAGAGAAGCTCTTAGTTTATGAGTATCTTCCTAATGGAAGCTTACACTCTCTTCTTCATGGTAAAACTTTCTCTCTAAGCTTTGATTATCAAATTGAAAATGCTCTGTTTTGCAGTTTGATCAATTGGGTCACTCATTAGTGCCAAAAGTTTTGATTTTTATCTACAATGTTTTGATTTTAGGGAACCGAGGTCCTGGACGGATTCCATTAGATTGGACTACGAGGATTAGTCTAATGTTAGGAGCAGCGAGAGGATTAGCGAAGATTCACGACGAGTATAGCATCTCAAAGATTCCTCACGGCAACATCAAATCCTCCAATGTTCTATTGGACAGAAACGGCGTCGCGTTAATCGCTGATTTCGGTTTATCACTTTTGCTAAACCCGGTTCATGCTATCGCACGGTTAGGAGGCTACCGTGCGCCGGAACAGTCAGAGATCAAACGGCTCTCTCAGAAAGCTGATGTGTACAGCTTCGGTGTGTTGCTTCTCGAGGTTTTAACAGGAAAAGCTCCCTCGATTTTCCCGTCTCCTTCGAGACCTAGATCAGCGGCGTCGGTGGCGGTGGAGGAGGAGGAAGAAGCGGTGGTTGATTTGCCGAAGTGGGTTAGGTCGGTGGTGAAGGAGGAATGGACGGCGGAGGTTTTTGATCCGGAGCTTTTGAGGTATAAGAATATTGAGGAGGAGATGGTGGCGATGCTTCATATCGGTTTAGCTTGCGTCGTGCCTCAGCCGGAGAAGAGGCCGACGATGGCGGAGGTTGTTAAGATGGTTGAGGAGATTAGAGTTGAGCAATCTCCGGTTGGTGAAGATTTTGATGAGTCAAGGAACTCAATGTCGCCGTCGTTGGCTACCACCGAAGACGGCTAAGTTTTTTTTTTTTTCCCCGTTGCTTTTGTAAAATATCTATCGTTTGGATCTTGTCGAATTTAAGGTTCTTGCTTAGAATCCCTGATTTGCGAACTTGTCGGAGTTTTTTTAGCCATGTTTTTGTGTCTTTGACGGTTTGTGATTTTGTAACATTTATGGGTTATTGTGGATTTATGAAACTGTTTCAAATAATATGTTATATAACCCACTAGTTACTATTTAATGCCCATTTAGGCCCATATGGCCATATGTTATAGGTTGATTAACTAGCAATTGCTATTTGATTATTGATCCTAATAAACTCGAACGCCAATTCATTAGTGCTTCTAGAACGGTAGATGCTTCTGTGACTGTCCACTCGTAATTGTCTTCTTGGTTAAAGACTAAAGAGTCAGCCCTTTGGATTTGACCTTTCGCGTACCTTTTGAGCCCATGGATTATGATTGGCAGATTAAGTAAATTAACGAATGGTCAAGCACATGATTAGCCAATAAATACGATGTATCCCTTTTTCATTTCTAGAAGCAAATCTTGTCTAAACAACTTCTTTTTTAATTGATAAGAGATTTAATATTGTGAGTTTTCTGATAGTTTGAAGTGTTAAACCATAAAGTTTCAATCTGTAACATAAGAGAAATACATAAAAATGGAGTATTTAGTTTTCATTAAGCCATAAGGGCAAGTTTAATGGTATTTATTAGTGCGTAACTGAGATACTACCCCTTATTGAAGAAAAATCATCATTCCTCGGCGCGTGAGGCCAATTTGACCCCTTCCCCACGAAATTAACTTGGGGAAATACTAAAAGTCTAAATCAGCTACGTCGCTTTTCATGTGCCTTAATCGCACCCCTTTCTGCCACGTGTACGATCTGGGACCGTCGTTGTGCTCATTGACATTTGTAGATCCCGTTTCTAGATGTTCATTAAAATTACTTAATATATATCCAGTCCTTCTAGTTATAGTTTTTGCTACTTTGATCCCTGTTGTTTCAGTTATGATAATTCATTCGGTATCCAAAATCATTTAAAATCCATAGATGATTTTTTAGAATATATTACTAACTTTCTTATATTATTGACTTTACAAAGAAACTAATTTATGATATTACTTCAAAAGTTTTGAATACCTTTATCAGTGAACTATTCTAAAAATTACAAATACTGTATCATTAAAAAATCAGTGTATTATAAAACAGTGGGAGATATAGTTTGCATTAGATACTGAACATTTGGCCATTTGGGGGGTGTAAAATAGAGAAACTAAAGTCGATGGCTTGTTTTTCAACATTTCCATTCTATTGTGTGCTATTTAAACGAAAACTGCGTCGTAGTTGGAGGCATATTCGCCGGTCAAGCGTATCAAATACCCAATCACGCACACTTTTCTCCGCCTCTTCTCCACTCCAACATTCCTCTCCGTCTTTCTCCCGTCACCGTCGCGCAACGAAGCCTGAGATCTCCCAATTCCGATCGGCAGCTATGCATTCGAGTCATCTCCTTCTCGAGGAACCGATCAGGATGACTTCTATCCTTGAACCTTCCAAATCAGTGAGCTATTTATTTCTCCTTTCTCTCGCTGTGTGTGTTGTCCTGTGATGGTTTGATTCTCCTTAGTTCGTTGTTGATTTTCGATTACGTTTGGATCTGTTGTGTTATTTCATTCATTGAAGCAGTAAGAGATTTGTTTCGTTTGTCGAGGTTTTTGATCCGCTTTGATGCTATTTCGCAGAGTTTTTTCCCGGCTTTGACTAAGATTGTTGGGACTCTAGGTCCGAAATCTCGATCCGTCGAGGTGATTTCTGGTTGTCTCAAAGCTGGAATGTCCGGTAATAGCGATTACTTCACTGTTTGAGACGTAATTTTGCTTGGGGCACTCTCACTAGTTATTGATGTGTCGTTCTTTTTGCAGTGGCTCGATTCGATTTCTCTTGGTGTGATGCAGAGTATCACCAGGAGACGCTGGAGAATTTGAAGATAGCCGTGAAGAGCACTAAGAAGCTTTGTGCTGTATGTTTGTTTTATCTTTTCTCTGGTTTTGTTCTGCTAGATCTTATTTGGTAATGCTTAATCTCATGAATTAAGATTGTTGTTTATGGATTTTACAGGTTATGCTGGACACTGTGGGACCTGAGTTACAAGTTATTAACAAGACTGAGAAAGCTATTTCTCTTAAAGCTGATGGCCTTGTAACTTTGACTCCGAGTCAAGATCAAGAAGCTTCCTCTGAAGTCTTTCCCATTAATTTTGATGGGCTAGCGAAGGTTTATATGAAACCCTTACCGTTTAGTTTTTTGGAGAAGATGATAATTGTTTTTTTATAGGGGTTTGATGGCTTTATTGTTTGATTTCTTCAGGCAGTTAAGCAAGGAGACACTATCTTTGTTGGACAATACCTCTTCACTGGTAGTGAAACAACTTCAGTTTGGCTTGAGGTATAAAATAATTTTGCTTATGGAACCACTCTACGTTATTCTCTGGAATTTAAATTTAGACTTGTAGATGTTTTTGTTGTGAGAAGACTAACCATTTAAACAAACCTTCAGGTTGAAGAAGTTAAAGGAGATGATGTCATTTGTATTTCAAGGAATGCTGCTACTCTGGCTGGTCCGTTGTTCACATTGCACGTCTCTCAAGTTCACATTGATATGCCAACCCTCACTCAGAAGGATAAGGAGGTCAGTGTTACTTATAATTTACATATCTCAGTGACCGCTTTACTCTGTCTCTAGTAATATTCTAGCTTATAACTATTTTTTTCCTGTTTTGGTTCTCTTCTAGGTTATAAGTACATGGGGAGTTCAGAATAAGATCGATTTTCTCTCATTATCTTATTGCCGACATGCAGAAGATGTTCGCCAGGTCCACATTCTTTTTCATAATGTTTTTTCTAAACATCCTTTGAAGTATTATGACTCCCTTTGTTTAGTCACTACTAATTCCGAGCTTCTTCTGATACGCTTGAATGATCACTTTTTATGCCACAACTCAGGCCCGTGAGTTGCTTAACAGTTTGGGTGACCTCTCTCAAACACAAATATTTGCGAAGATTGAGAATGAAGAGGTAAGTGAAATGAATTTATTTTGTCTTTACATGCGACTTTTCTTTCATTGGAATGGTGATGGTACTGTTTAGTGTTTATATTTACATATGTGTATTTTTGATTTTAGGGACTGACCCACTTCGACGATATTCTACAAGAAGCAGATGGCATTATTCTTTCTCGTGGGAATTTGGGTATTGATCTACCTCCGGAAAAGGTATGATGTTGGTCAGTCAAATCAATATGTTTGGGTCCAATGCCCTACTGCCCTATGCACTTTCTAGTCAGATTGGTGTGTGTCTTATTAGATTATTAATGATATTCTGGAGCGAAGTGCTAAGTTGACTGTAAAACTTTCCAGGTGTTTTTGTTCCAAAAGGCTGCTCTTTACAAGTGTAACATGGCTGGAAAGCCAGCCGTTCTCACTCGTGTTGTAGACAGTATGACAGACAATCTCCGGCCAACTCGTGCAGAGGCAACTGATGTTGCTAATGCTGTTTTAGATGGTATGTTTAGTTTCTGAAATATGTATTTTGTACTGCTTATATTCTATCGGAGGGAATACGTATTTCTGGATCATAGTTTTGGTCATAACTTGAAGAGGGTTTCTTTCCTTTCGCTTCCTGCAGGAAGTGATGCAATTCTTCTTGGTGCTGAGACTCTTCGTGGATTGTACCCTGTTGAGACCATATCAACTGTTGGTAGAATCTGTTGTGAGGTAGGCTTTATCTTACGGTTCTAAAGTATTATTATTTCCAATGCCTTCTTAGCATCTCAATCATCTTTGCCATGGTTTGTCATCTGATTTTTTCTTACACATTTATTACTTGTTTATAGGCAGAGAAAGTTTTCAACCAAGATTTGTTCTTCAAGAAGACTGTCAAGTATGTTGGAGAACCAATGACTCACTTGGAATCTATTGCTTCTTCTGCTGTAAGCCTCTCTTCTGCGCTACCTACATAACTTATAAGCTGACAAACTGCCTTACAAATTGATAATTTCCATCTTTATTTCTAACTGAAAGGCTTAACTTCTGCTTGATATCAGGTACGAGCAGCAATTAAGGTTAAAGCATCCGTAATTATATGCTTCACCTCGTCTGGCAGAGCAGCGAGGTTCATACCATTCCTTCCAACTTAAACTGTTCCTTCATTTAAATTTTCTTTAGCTGTCTACTGAATGTTTCGTCCATCTCTTGAAGATTGATTGCCAAATACCGTCCAACTATGCCCGTTCTCTCTGTTGTCATTCCCCGGCTTACAACAAATCAGCTGAAGTGGAGCTTTAGCGGGGCCTTTGAGGTACACTTCATTCTGATTGTTTTAATTTGTAAAACGAGTTGGGAATTTTCTTATGCCACATGCTGATTTTCAAGATTCAATGATTACGGTTGTTAATTGCTTATGACTGCATATCCTATTTATCATTGTCCACATGATTGAAAGGAATACCAACTCTTAAATGTTCTGTATAATCGAAGATTAAAAAAAACAGTTACCCTTTGGAATAATATCACCTGCTTGTAAAATTCTAGATCTGAGAAGCTCCACAAGAAAAACTATTATCATATCTAAATTACCTATATGGACTTTATTTTGATTATTGCTCACCCTTAACATCGTGTATGTGTCTATTGTTGCCCCAGGCAAGGCAGTCACTTATTGTCAGAGGTCTTTTCCCCATGCTTGCTGACCCTCGTCACCCTGTAAGTCTCTATTGCAAAGAATTTGATTAATTGCAAAAAGATTCTTGCAAATTTAATGTTATGGTTGCAATTGTCTCTAATGTATTGTGAATCCTTTGTTCAGGCGGAATCAACAAGTGCAACAAATGAGTCGGTTCTGAAAGTGGCTCTAGACCATGGGAAGCAAGCCGGAGTGATCAAGTCACATGACAGAGTTGTGGTCTGTCAGAAAGTGGGTGATGCGTCCGTGGTCAAAATCATCGAGCTAGAGGATTAGAAGAAGCAGAGTGAGTCTTGTCCGTCTTTTTTTTTTTTCTGTTACTAATCAATTTTCTTTCCTTCACTAAAACTCTTGGTGCCTTCCAAGAAAGATACTTGCGATTCTTGTTTTGCTGGCGATATGCTAGATACTACGGGAGTGAAAATATCTCCTGGACTTTTGATTTTGTATTTAGGAGATTGATGTTTCCAAGTTAAGATATAAACCACTTCCCACTCTATGCATAATATATACATTCTCTAGTAACTATAGTTCTATATTCATCTTTTAGCAACATTGAAGGACCCAAACCTCCGAATTATCTACAATCTTTTCTCTAAGAGTTGCAGTGGCTAGCTTTGCTTGCTCAATCAAATTCTGAAATCTGTGTCTTTAAAGGTTAAAAGTTTACGATAAATGATTTCAAGGGAATACAATTTTTTTCTTTGCCTTTATTTTTTCTTCCAAACCATTAAAAATAACAAGCATTACGTCGATTATCTTATTAAAAATTAGTTTTATTGATAAGAAATCCAACCAATACAATGACTATATATAGAATTACAAATCTGCAAAAACGTGGAAGTTCTTGGAGTCAAGGGCGATGAGCCTAAGAGCTGCAATGGCGGCAGCAACAGACATCAAACTGAAGAAGACAACGTTGAGCCAATGCCATAGCTTTTGCAAAGGATTGAGCTTATTGTTCTTAGCCTTATAGTACATGTGGTTGGCTAGAATGAATGTGAGAGGGAATGTGCTCACTGCACCAGTGAGGCTCATGAAGTCCCCAAGGAATGGTAAGAGTGCTGAGAGAAGCGTACTAACCGCTATGTACCCGCCTCTTGCCATGATCCTAAACAACAAGTTCTTTAACGCCAATGGGTTTCCTTTGATCCCAAACTTTGTGTCCATATACTCATATGTTGGACTTGCAAAAATCTACAAAAATTGAGTAAGCACGGATTGACTCACAAATAGTTTGAGTTGAGATGGTTTTTGGTTAAGTTGTTTTCTTAAAGAGAAACTTACGTGCAGAGAGATAACGGATTGAAGGATAGCGGAGATGTTAGCAAGGGCTTTGACCCAAACTGGGCCATTAACGTTGTTTAGTAGATAAGCCGAGGTTGAGGATCCGTAAGCCCAATATCCGATGAATACAACCGCGTACATCGGTAAAACACCCACCGTGAATTGAAAGTATAGAGCCTTCATCATGTTTTTTACAACCGGTTGCCTTACTGTTGCCTATCATCATTGCGGAAAAAGCAGTGTCAATAAGAAGGATTTGAAGATAGTTAACATTAAAAGTAAGATAAAAAAATTTGTTTAGGATGAGGTTTATTTGAACAAAATGCACACTAAACGTAAAAGCAAACAATATTTGAAGCCTAAAATATAGCTTAAACGTTTTTTTAAAAAAAGAAGCCTAAAATATGAAGCTGAAATCTAGAAAAAATCACCTGAATTTCTGGAAGCATCCCTGTGTTGAATACAAAAACTAGTGTTGCGGCTGCTCCAGTGATGGTAAAAAGTTTGCTTAGTGATGATCCTTGTATCTCGTAATCTCTTGAAGGTGCTTTAACTCCTACAAAAGCAAAATTAGAAGGAAGGATCTGACTTATCAGTAGCTATAAAATCCATAAGTAATGGCTGAAGATGATCATCATTTAAGTTATACCATCTTTAACGGATAACACGATTGCCACAACGATATAGATGAGGCTGAGGATGGTCGAAACCGCAAGCCAGATCCCAAGAGCCGATAAATGAGGAATCCCAATCGCAAAAACCGCACAAATCAGACCCGCAATGGCTATAAAATGAGGTAACTTCATGACATGATCATCCCTAAAAACCACATAAACAGCCTGCAGAAAACAGAACACACCCCAAAAATAACTAACTCTGGCTCAAGGAATCAAGAATCAAGAGAGAACAATGATTACTACGTACCTTTAAGGCGGAACCAGCTAGTATGATGAAACCACAATTGATCATGAAAAGATTGACATATTGCAACACCCATGTAAGACAATAAGCCTTTCTACCTGAAAAAGAGATATCCATTTCAATGGAAGTAACATAGAAGATAAAGAAAGATAAAGCAAAGAGAGCTGGTTTACCGTAAATGAATCCCGCGAGGTCTCTATAACGAATGTGCCTTTTGCCACCAAACTCATGAAGCTTGGCTACAAGAGTGTTTGCATAGAGTGATATTGCAGTAGCAAGAATAAGACCAACCACACCACCAATCCATCCTAAAGGAACCATGACTGTTCCTGAATATCCCAACACGTATGCGCTGTTTATACTGGTTGTCAGAACGAACGCTGCCTGAAACCATGAATCTGTACATTCCACGAAACATACTTGTAAATGCTTTTCATAGTTTAAAGAAAAAATAGTTTTAAAGAAACTGAAATTGGGCACTTATCCAACGTTAGTTAAAATAAAAAAATTGACACATCTTAAGCCGTAAAATTAATATAACAAAAAAAAACAGAGGGAAAACAAATGACAAACCGCTGCTTATCTGATGAGCAGTGTCAGGGATTTCGATATCAACATCTTCTCCGACATTGTTTATGCGATTCTTAGCGCTCATGATCACCAAATGGTTATTGTGTCTCTGCAGCTAAGAGCCTTTCCCTTTATAATAGATGGTCGCTAACAATGGAAAAGAAGAGTCTATGGTGGGTGGGAAATCAAGTCCAATTAGAAGTGGTAGAGAGATTTTTAAAAGGTTTTAGAAATGAGAAGTTGTTGAAATCAAGTTCTTTCAATATATACGAATTACGAAACAAGCACAATATACATGTGGTGAATGGAGAGAGGAGAAATTTTCTTTGGAATTTGTGTTAGACTTATCACAAAACAATCCAAAACACACAAAAATCTGAAATATGTGGCTGTGAATTTGGAGAGACACTGAAATGTGTCTTTAGACCGTTGAAGTGTTGGAGATATGGGAAATGATTGTACGCAGCTTGATCCTTACAGATTTTTTGGACATTTCTGCCGTCTTGTTGTTAGGCAGAATAAGACTAGATACGAAAATATGTAACGTGACACGAAAGACAATAAATAGTCCAAAAGTTTGAGTGTACTAAATTCTCTTAGAGTTTTGACTTTGTATTGTTTGGTTATTTAAAAAGGGTGTGACCGGGACCAATATCAATAACAGCACATTTATGTCCTACCCATTTTTGGTTGAATACTTAAAAACCATTATTTTCAAATGTGACATCTTGAAATTGAAAGCTAGAGTTAGAGATCTAGTGAAAAAAATGGAGATATATCTAATGAAGAGTTGCAACAATTTTTGATCTTGTAAGAAATTAAATCAAAACTTTGTCCTCACCATGCATTCTTTAAGGTTATGTTCCGTTATACACATGATTTGCCTGTCTTATTTATAGAAATTGTATGTTAATCTTTTTCTAAGAGATTACTTTTTACTCCTTAGGATTTATTATGTGCTTTATGTGAGATGATTATAACCTTGTAATGAGTTTGTTCTAACTGTATAGATTTTTTGTTTTCCCCCTTAAAAAATTAAAGTTTAACACATCCATCGAAGCATTTGAATAAGTTACTAGATTTTAACCTGCGGTGTAAATTGTAAAATTAATTTTAAAGTTAGTATAAAATTTTTTTGTAAATTGTATTTTCTTATAACATATTTATTTATATTATAGTTTACAATTGTTATTAAGTAACGGTATACCACGAGTCCACGAGACAATTATTAATAAACTGAAGATTTAATCCGTATTAAAGCGGTATATAAATATTGATTCAAATTCGTCCGCTATATAAATCTTTTCCTAAATATAACTCGTTCTGTAATTTCTTAACCCGTCCCGTGATTTGTTTTTATTTTAAAATTAATGATTATTTATTATATATAAAAGTTTACAAATCATATCATTCTCTAAGACATTTATATTTTAATAAACTGAAGAATTAATATGTATTAAAGCGGCATGTTAATGATATTTAAAATTTTATAAATATTGTTATTAAGTAACATTATACTACGGAACAATTTTTGGTTTTATACAATCTTTTCTAAATGAGACTGATTTAATATGTCTAATATTGGTGGTATTAAAAAAAAGGATTTAATCCGTATTGAAGCGGCGGATTAATGATATTTTAATCTTTTTATTATTGTTGATTTAAAAACCCGTCCCGCCAAACCCGTCCGGCCAAAAAAACTCATTTATTTTATTAATGTTGATCTTATTTATGATATGATTCTGAATCATTGTCTAAATATTTTAATCGATGTAGAACGTTGAACACACATTTTCGTTAATTAGATAATATATGTCCGTTTTTAAAATTTCGAATCATAGTATATGTAGAAAAAAATTGATTTTTTTTTACTTTATGTATTATATGATGATTCAAAACAGTTAAAAACAAATTAAACAAAGATGATAGGAGAATCATAATTTTAAATCTTAATCAAATCTTTATGTAAATTATTAAATATGGAATATCCGGTGTATGAGTTGGTGGTTTAAATATAACCCGACCCAACAAATTTTTTGTGAAGGATTTTAAAAAACGGGTCGGATATCCGATTAACCCAGAAGCATTTTTACCCACCCGTCACCTCAAAGTATTGCAAAAATACTAGTATAGATATATAAAGTTAAGCATGAAAGAAAACATTTAAGTTATATATAAAGTTAAGAATGAAGGAAACAAAAGCGCCCGTGGCCTAATGGATAAGGCGTTTGACTTCTAATCAAACGATTGTGGGTTCGAGTCCCACCGGGCGTGTCAATTCTTTTCTCCAACAACAACTTGTCGGCCCAATTTTTTGACAGTTGGTCGGCCCATTTATACTTCAAATTTTATAATTTATGTTTTAGCTTTCATATAATTTAAAAGACTTTGGTCGGTTTGTCATCTACACGTGACAATGCCCTCCCTACACAGTCACAGCCTACACTTGGTCGGCGATTGTCACGTGTCAGTCAGGCGTTGATCTTCGTTTTCCGACGTAATACTTTCACTTTCTCGTCACCGAAAATCCATCAGAGAGATCGGAGATATCAGATAGATCCATTGCTATGGCTCTCGAGCGTCACCACTTCTCTCTTCTCCGCGTGTAGTCAATTAACTCCCGAGTTATCATGGGGTCGTCCTTCTCGAACCTCAACGGTGACACTAACGGTCTAGCAACCGGACCGAGTCTCGGAGATATACCGGAGAGCTGCGTAGCTTACGTGATTCTTCACCTGACTCCGCCGGAGATTTGCAATCTAGCTCGCTTGAATCGAGCATTTCGCGGCGCGGCTTCGTCAGATTCTGTTTGGGAGAAGAAGCTTCCATGTAATTACAAGGATTTGCTTCATCTATTACCGCCGGAGATGTATCAGAGTCTCTCTAAGAAGGATATATTCGCATTACTCTCTCGTCCTATCCGTTTCGACGATGGTCACAAGGTTTGTTCAAAATTCCTTGCTTTGCTGGAATGGAATTGGGAATTAGGGTTTTTCTTTTGTGTGAGTGTTTTATGTTGGTGGATTGGAATTAGGAATTAGGGTTTTCTCTGGTAACAATGTCTTGTGTTGATGATATGGACATAAATTGTTGCAGGAAGTGTGGATTGATAGATCGACAGGACGGGTTTGTATGGCGATTTCGGCAAGAGGAATGGCGATAACTGGAATCGAAGATCGTAGGTATTGGAATTGGATTGCAACAGAAGAATCAAGGTACAGTTTTTAATAGATTCAGCAAGTAGATATCAAAGTTTTAAACATACAAGGAAGTAGATGATCAAGAGCATTGCAATACTTGGTTTGTCATCTTTGGTTCTCAGTTTAATTGCCAGGTTTGTGAATCTTTTAGAACAATGGCAAGATCAAATAATGATTGAAAGTTGCATGTATGTGTAGTCTGTGTCTATGTGTTCAGGTGTCTCAGCTTTTAGGTTTTGAATAATGGTTATTGTGATGACGGTTTATCAAGACATGCAGAATGATTAGGCAAATGAAAATCAAGTTTCTAGAGAATATGAATTTCATTTGAAAGTTGAATACACTGTTGCAGCTTTTATGTTAAGACTGAAAATCATAAAAATGGTGGTCTACTTATACAGATGTTAAAAATGTCAGGTTCCATGTTGTAGCCTACTTACAGCAGATTTGGTGGTTTGAAGTAGATGGAATGGTGAGATTCAATCTTCCTCCTGGTATATACTGTCTATCATTCAGAATACACCTTGGAAGATTCTCGAAAAGGTTGGGAAGACGAGTTTGCCATTTCGAACACACACATGGTTGGGAGTTAAAGCCTGTGCGGTTTTCACTCTCAACTTCAGATGGGCAAGAGGCGTCATGTGAATATTACTTGGCTGAGAAAGGCGGTGAGGAAATGGGTATGGAACAAAAAGGAGGAGGAGAGTTCTGGAGAGAGTATAAGGTTGGAGAATTTGTTGTGAGTTGCTCAGAACCATCAACCGAAGTCCGATGGTCGATGAAACAGATTGATTGCACACATTCGAAAGGCGGGATATGTGTGGATTCTGTCTTCATCATCCCAATCGATGTGAAGCAACGCAAGAAAAGGAAAGCTACTGTGAAATAATAGTTAGACAGAAGGAATTGTACATTTTTAGCTGCTATCTCATAGTATTGTTAAAAAAGTTGTACCATTTCATATCACCAAATCGGATTCAACATGAACATGTAAGTGGGTACACGTTGTGATTACTATTGAAAATAGATAGGCTTTGACAATTCTAACTTGAAGAAAAGGGTATTGTTCAATCGTAAGGACCATTCTTTAAAAGGGACCATTTAATGTTAGGGTAATTGTTAAAACGTGTAAGTTTAATTTGTTATTCCAAAGTCTATTTCCTATTTGAGTGTTGGTTTTGTTTTCACGATGGGGAGACACGTGACAGTTTCGACTTAAATTACCAGAAAAGTAATAATGGCAAATGGAAAGCCAGGTTCTGTGACTTCTGCCTTCCACTGGTTGGCATTTGGCAGTGCCAAGTAAATGTCAAAGAAAAATGTAATCGTCAAATTTTTCTGAGAAAAAACAATTCTTATACTAGCCCATGCTCTCTATTTAGCAAGTACGTTTATACTGAAAACATTAACCGTTGGTTTTGGTTTTTAACTAACATGGAATTTAGACCTATGTTACTCTAAAAGAAGGAAATAATTGTAATGAGCTTCTTCTTTATACGAAAACATTTAGTAATGACACAACACGCTCTCTTGAGCTTTATTTCTCTGTAACTTTATACTACATGGTCCTCGTTTAGATTATCATTATAGCTCTTTTACTACTATTTACTCACTCAATTTATTACTTCCACTCTCGCAATGCATTGGATTGTGACAATAATAATTAAGTATCTCGATCCCAAAGTGTTGAATTCAATAGATTTTTACAGGCTTTATACCTCAGCTTCCAAAAGAAATGCTTCTTGATTTAGCTTAGAACTATCAGATAATAAGTAGATCTCTTTGGTATCTTAGATTATCCATCATGCTAGTTTTGATGGTCAAAACTATTCTGTTTGAGTGTTTGTAAGTAACTTCTATCCTAGTTACATTCTAATTATTGATCCTTTCCAACATTGATGCTCAAAAATACCTTGGATCCGATTTTATAATTATTTTCTAAAAAAGCCTTAAACTAATTACTCTTATTTTGATAGCGTTGGTAGGATTTTTGTTCACTTTCATGAAGATATGTGAACTGAGCCAAACTAAAAGTTAAACTAAATTAGTTTATGATTATAATCTACTATATAAATATTTGGTTTGTTTGATTTTAACCAAAATCCTTTGGCAAAATAACTACTTTCAAATACCACATGCTTATATAATATTAATAATGATTTAGATACGATATATGTATATATACAAGGATTTTAAAAAGTCAGTTTTTGAACTATTTAGATCATAGGTTAAGGTTATTTTCTTAAAGAAAGCTTTTATTTTTGATCAATCCAATGACTTGATACAGAAAACAAAAAAAAAAATCACATCTTAAAACCTCATGGAAAAATTGGTTAGTGAAGTTGTAACGTGCTTTGGAAATGGAACAAAATATACTTATATCAGTCACAATCAATGTATTTACCGTAGAATGTGATTTAGAGAGACATAACTAGTGCTAGAAACTTCAGATTTATCCAACCATATAAGCATTTAACATATCTTCAAAATACGTTGCATCATTCAATTTCTAACTATACTTTATCGCCGGATCAATACAAAAAAAACTCGTAGATCGATATGATAATACTATTTTCACTAGTGCACTGTGTGCTCTCAAATTTTGTCAGGATCAGAATTGGACCCTTCTGATCTATCTGTTGGAGTAGCACCCTGCAGCTCCACAGTGTTAAATAAAGATTGTGGGGACTTTGCAAATACATACATACAAAGAGATGAAAAAATTGGAGGCTATATTATAGATTGAGAGTAGAAGTTTGAATTGATATATGTCAGATTGGTGGTTGATTAAGGTAGAGAAAGTGATAGACATTTGTACAAATGTAGAATCTGGACCATTCTCTCTTTTCTTTTTCACCTCTATATCTTACTCTTACTGTTCCTTTCTCCGCTCACTAATTAATACGAAGCACTTAGTTATTGATCACGTATATAATCTTTTATATACATATTACAAAATTTACCGTTTGTATTCATTCACAAGCTCTTCATTTCAACTTCATTATAGTTTACTAATGGTTGACAAATTTAGAAAAAATGATCTATAATGACTTCTTTTTAAAAAATCTATGTCATGTGCTAAAGACTAGAGCAATCGATTTTTAAGTTACTATGAGCTATACGATTATGATTATGGTGGTCCTGGTCCAAGTATGGTTTGTTGCCGTTTTTAGAGTGGATTCAATTCGAAATTGATCTGAAAACAATTACCATGTATTAGAATTACACATTGGAAGTGAGATAGAATTAAACTATTAAAGTTACAAGATATATGAACTATTCTGTAGCTCCATAACACCAAGTACTAGCTCCATATAAACATTTTTATTTGTATAATCTATTTGTTCAACACCGCTAGTTCTACCATTATCGTTCAGACTATTTGTTACCGGTCAGAGTAATGAAACCATTCAATTACACATATGTATTTCTCTTTACCTGATAGTGACCCAATTAGTTACCCGAAGTTAAAAACAGAAGCCGTAGCGTTTTCAACCATATTTACTTATATATACAATGCACATGCATAAAAAGATAATCCCAAAGTTGTTCATTTCTTTGTTTGGCTAAAAAATAGTCTCTTGAAAGTGATTGTTGTAAGCAGAGATAGACAAAAGAGGTAAAAAAGAAGAAGAGAAGATGGAATATTGGAGCAGCTCCTTCATCGATGGCGCTTCTTCTTCCAACTTCATCTCTCCTTTCTATAACTTTGACCATTTTTCAGGTAACATATATGCATCCTTAGTACTTGGTTTTAATGGAGCTAAGTTAATTATATGCTTAACATATGCATCTCTTCTTGTATTAAATTTGTAGGAAACCAAGACAACAGATGTCTCTCGTCAGGTACTATGGTGAGTGCACAACAAGATATGCTTCATTTCCCTCTAGCAATGGTAGAGAGTGGCTATGGAGAAGAAAGCAACAGTTTTAATGGAAAAGAGAAGAGAAAGAAGAAGATGACGAGCGAGCAACTAAAGTTCCTCGAGACAAGTTTCCAAGAAGAGATAAAGCTTAATCCGGACAGGAAGATGAAGCTGTCCAAAGAAATCGGGCTGCAGCCGAGACAGATTGCGGTTTGGTTCCAAAACAGGAAAGCCAGGTGGAAGAACAAACAGCTCGAGCATCTCTATGAATCACTAAGGCAAGAGTTTGATGTTGTCTCTAGAGAAAAGGAATTGCTACAAGAAGAGGTAATTATATTACCTCACTGATCCATACTAAATAAATTAGCTTTTGAGTGTATTTTCTTGAGTTGCTTTCACTTTGTTTCAACAGCTAACACAACTGAAATCGATGATAAGGGAGAATGGTTCAAGCAAGAAGAAGCAAACCTGGGAAAAAACCTGCAGCTGAGGCAATAGCAATTCAATTAGATCTCCAAAATGGCTCAAATTTGTAGTCTTAGTCCTAGACAAGTTACAATTTCTTTGAGTGGTTCTGTTTTTTTTTTGGTATGAAGTATGGTTTAAGTAATTTTCATGTAAAAGGGTTCTCTAGGTTAATGAATAATACATTGTGATTGAAGAACTCTAAAGCCATGTTTAGACTCGTTAATGCTTATCCAAAGCTCACTTTAGCTCAGACCAAGCCAAGTTACAAATTCTATTTGCAGTTTTTGGATATCACGAGTAAAAAACACAAGGTAATTGATAACCAAACAAAAAGTTTTCATAAACTGCAGATAAACCTCAAGTACAATATACTAGATCTGGTGCAAAACTAAAAAAATTGGCGACAAAACAAATGTCAAAACAAGAAAGAAAGATAAGTGAAGAGAGAAGAGTGGGCTACTCTATAGCTCCATTCAACGTCTGCCTCCACCACCGCCCATCTTAGCAGCCTTGGGTGCAGCACTCTTGGGGATATTTCCCTTCACTTGTGACTTCTGTTGCTTGGAAGCATACTCAACCTTCTTAGCCTTCTTCTCGTCCTTGGTCTTCTTGATTCTCTCCTTTATCTCACTGCATAATCATCAATTTAGTATTGAGTCAATCACATTTCAGGTTAAAAAAGATGGTGTATATAGAGACTGTCATTGTGAAAAGAGATTAACCGTAGTGCAGCTTCTCTGGCTGCATCACGAACTTCAGGCTTCTCTGCACGCTTCTTCTGAATAACCTCCAAAGTAGCACCGACAATCGACCTTGAGTAAGGCTTCTTGGTAGCACGTCTCCTTCTCTTGACAGCCTCTTGTGCTGCGTCCTGGAAGAAATCAGAAAACAGAGGGTCACAACCAGAATTCAATAGTAGTAAATCTAGACAACAAGAAGCAAACAAGAAAAGAGTTAACACCTTTTTGTGCTGCTTTCGGTACATAGCAGTCCATGTAAGCTTAGATGGCTTCAACTTGTTGTGGAAATACCTCTTACATTTGGAGTTGGCAAACAAAAACACCTAATGAATCATGAAACCAAAGTTGATAAAATCAATACAAGAGACATAGTATAGCAACAACAGACTCTTAATAAGCAGAGCACATATTGAACAAAATAAGTACCTGAGAGTCGGATCGGATAAATCTGATCCCCCTACCAGGGTAAATCTTCTGACCACTGAATCGGCAAAGCTCAGTCCTACAATACAAACATTGTCAAGAGCTTAGAGTTAATCGAAAACCAACTCATTCTGGAATGAGACAAACAATTAACGAATCACACAGATTTCAAAAAGAGACCAAACATAACTAGTTCAATGTACAGGATTACAAACAAAATGTTACAGCAAAGTAAATGGGAGCAACACGATCTAGTTATTGCCGAACAGAAACTGTATCTCGTACCAAAAAATCTCAAATCGCCAACATTTTTGATCAGAAAATAAACAGATATTAACGAAAAGAAGGTCATTTTAGCAAATTGGCATCTTCAACAGTAGCAATATTCACATGGATCATTAGCAATAATGTACGCTTATGAACTGAGAAGCATGAAGAAGAGAGATAGAGAAGAGATTGCTTACTTGAGAACCATGGCTCCGCCGCGCTTGTTACTCTTTTCACTCGAAACCCTAAAAAATCTATTCTTTAGTTTAACGAATCCTATTTAAGGCAGATGAATTTCGCCTGAGCCCTAGGTTTCGAGAAATATAATGGGCCTTTCAGCCCAAATTAAATGTTTAAGCCCATTAAAGAAGGTTTTAAGTATGGTTAAACCCATTAAACAAAGACTTGATGGCCTCCACTCCAATAAAGAAAAAGAATAGTTTAGTAATCTGACGTTTATAAGGACCAAATACTGTATATATTGTCTGGCTTGGACCTGATATCTTACAAGTCACATCCATCATTTTCTTTTTTTTTTTGGTAAGATCATCCATCATTTTCTTTTGTTTTGAATTAGACGTTTAACCACGAACAATATCACAAAACTATACATAAATTCCAAATAAAAATGTTATATCATTAAGGGTTAAATGTTATATGGACCAAGATGATCCGAATCAGTCCATTGCAACTCTATTTATCATGTGGTTGACAAAACTTTTGTTAGAAAATTTAATCACTCAAATTATTTGTGGCTGTACTCTTAAAAAAAAGGTTGCCGTGTACAAGTGGAAGACAATGTTGTGGTTAAGATTTTTCTGAAAATGTCTTTTTCTTAGTCAACTGTTTCAAGTTGCCTTTGTTGTTCAACAATCTTAACAAAGTCCAAATTTTATTGCCCTCCTCCATGTCATGTGAATAGAATAAGACTCCAATTTTAAATTTTATTGTTCGTCTTGCAAGCATCCAAAGATGCAATAATACAACGTTGAATACAAAAAATAAAAATGACAACAATTTAGACAAACTCTATTTCTGAAGATGGTCAACTATGTATTGACCAAAAACAGAGCACAACTGACTTGGACTGCAAGTAAACAATCTGGATTTTATAACTTCTCACAATAATGATGTTGGACAACCGAAATTGTCCAATATATCAAAATAAAACACTTGAATCTTTAGCTCAGATAGATTGAAGATTCATTGACTGCTGCAGAATCCCAAGAATCCCATGAATTCATGGTTATGTATCATCTTTATGCTCTTCTCTATCCCTATTACTCCCATTGTGAGAGCACTGGCACAAATGACTCCTGAGAGAACGAAAACGATGATCGAAGCTCTTTTCAGGATGGCCACAAGTTTTCTTATAAAGGATTGTCCCCAAAAACCGGCAAGAATCGATACCGAAATCAAATACATTGCTGTCAATGAAACACAGATCAATGATCAGTTTCCTTTTTATTTTGCTACTTTAAAATGTTTATTGTGTTATGTGTTTTAAGAAATCTTACCGTATGGGATTGGGAATCTCTTGAGGAGATAGAACTCGACTACGGATAAAGACGAAGAAAACATCATCACAAAGGTAGCTGTTGCGCTAGCAACCTGTGTTTTAATCATAGATAAAGATTAAAGATTAAAGAAACAAGATGATTGATTCTGGATTTTAAAATCATCTATTGATAAGATAGTGCGTGTACCTGTGGGATGACTCCAATCTCAAGAAGCAAAGGGCCGAGAACAAATCCACCACCGGATCCGAGGAGACCACCTACGATGCCTCCAATGACACCACAGAGACCACAGAAGATTAGACTCAGAGGAGTCCACTTGATCGTAGCTTCACAGATACATTCAGTGTTTCCACTGCTTAGCCTCTTTTTGTTCTCTGTATACAATTTTATTGCTTCAAATCCAAACACCGCTAAAGCAACTGGGAACTACAAATGGAAAATGGTTTCAAATGACTTGATTTAGCGAGTGCACAAAACACAATCAAAGATTATCTCGGACATAGATTTGTTTTACCTGTAAGATGAATAGTATCCAATATATTGTGCTGCAGACCTTTATTTCATTCTGTATAAACCCGAGAGTTAGATTGATGAGAGCTCAACATCAAAGATTATTGAGAATTCTTAGAAGAAGAAGAAGAAGATTACTTGCCTTGATAATTTGGATGAGCAAGAAAGCCAACCACACAGTTACCAGAACAAGAAGCCGTTTCCATTTGAGGTTAGAGCGTATTATTTCCTGTAAGTAAACAAAGAAACCCGGGTTTTGAATCTTTATGCAATAAGTTAAAAAATATCATCTTGCATACACTTACCAGCTCTGATTTCTCTTCTCTCGGGTAAAGCGGCTCATACTCTGTGTCGATTAAAACTGAACAACAGAATCAACAAATGGTGAGTTTAAGATCAAGAAACATGACTAAAGGAATCAAAAGTATGAAGCTTTACACACGTTCTCCGCGGGAGTTAACCATATTAGCTCGTTGCTGCGCCATTTCGTTCTGTTTAAGAAAAAGCCACATAAAACATTCAGTATCACAACATAAAAGCCACAACATTGATGGAAAATAAAAACTAACCTTTAACAATGTCTCTTCCTTCCACATCTCAATGCCTTTAAAGAAAGATCTCGAAGAAGTACCAACGAAAAGAATGATGATGAGGACAGTGATGAGCCAGTAAGGGAAAACAACACTGAGAGAAACACCAACAGTGATACCGAGAAGAAGCATTGGTTGAAAAAGAAGAGCAAGATCATAGTCTAAGATTGGTACTTCTTTTGTCGGATGACGAACTCTTACATTGTACCAAACTGATGATGCTGATGCTCCCATTATCATACCTTCACCACCAACAACATACTAATTAACTCAAGCAATTCTCTCATGAAAGAACTATATAATGATTGATCGATTCATTACATTTTGATATTGCTGCTGCGGATTTTGTATCAAACCCGAGAATGAGAGTGAGCATAGGAACGAATATTCCACCGCCTCCAACACCACCAACAGTCCCACAAGCTGATCCTAGAAACGCTATCACTGTAGCCAACACAAGTTTCCAGCTAAACTTCAAATCCTACTTACACAATTTCATACAAAAGAAACAAAAATAAAAAAAGTCAAAATTCCACTTTTTCAAAGATTCTTCCAAGCTTTTGGGTTAAAGGTGGCTTTTTTATTAACGTTGTTACGTAAACAAAATATATTATAACATCAATCAACGACTAAATGAAAATGACTCAAGTTAATGACGATGGCATATTCAGAAGAAAGGAAGAATCTTTTTAAATTTACCGGCCAAATTTTTTCGGTGGCAGAGAGAGGAGAGGAGGAAGAGAGATGATGATGATGATTAGGGTTTGTTGTGTCTCCGACGTAAGAAACAGAGAAGACGGCGACGGAGAAACCCGCGAGAAGGTAGAGGATAAATCCTCCGGTGCCTTTTCCATTCCACAATCCCATTCTTCTATATAAGACCCTAATTGGGGAAGCTTTGTTTTCTTAAAACGCCGATAAAAAATGAAGAAAAATGTGATTTTTTGGATGTTTCTTCTCTGGTGGTGAAGCAGAGAGAAACGTTTTATAAAAAGCAGAGTCGGAGAGGTGACGACGGAGATAGATAGATTAGAGAGGGAGGGATTTTATCAACTGTTCTTTGGCGTATTCTATTACGATACTATCTATTATCATAAGTTTACACGTGGCATTTTATTTTATATTGAGGTTGGAAATTTTGTTTTT